TCCAGCTAAATCCATCAGCAGAACCCGAATTAGCTGGCTCTGTTGGCCATTTTCGGGCTCTTTTAGCCGAGTTAGCTGGTTCTGTTGATGGATTTTGCTGAATCTTGAAGACTCCGCTTTTGGGTGGGTGTTCGTTCATACCACCGACGACGCTTCGGGACTTCCCTTCATGTCGCCTATGGAGGGACACTATGGAGGGACATTCTCTACACCTAATGACAGTTTCATCACTACTACGGGCGAGCCGAATACCGACTGAAGAAGCAGAAGACGACTGAGTGAAGGTGTTGTAATCAAATGTACAGGATAGTACGATAGTCAATGACGTACAACTCTTGCATGCAAAGGGTTGCTAGCCGCGGCAGCAGTGAGCAGGATGCACTCAGTGTAGCATAGATAACCACATAATCTTGATGTAACGCATTCTTTTGGAAATTCAATGTACTTCATCATGCACCATTAGCATCTATATTCAAGAATGAAAGCTACTTCATCCATCGAATCGCTTGTGCATGTACTTGTATCATTCAACGTCTTCATCATTATCGCGTCACCATCACCAAGTCCCCATACCCGTTTTATAAGGTACTATCGTGTTCATGAGACGAATAAAAAGCATGGTCGCGGCAGCACCGTAGTGCCAATCTTGTTTTAGTCTTTTTCCGTATCAACCAGGAAGACATAGTGCTGTGGCACTCGCGCTCCTGCTGCGTCTGTAGTCAATGTTAGGAGGCGACAGAAATGAAGGAAAGTGTAGCACCAGTTCCCGCAGCTAGCAATCGGTTTTTAATGGAACATCTTCGTGCCGAAATCCTCTTCTAAGACGCCCCTAATATCATGGAGGAGAGGCAGTCTGCACAGTAAATCGTTGATGTGCGAGAAGATTCATCGGGTTGCAATGTAGTATTGCACTCACCACAAGCAGGACGAAGTGTCCTAGTACATATTTTTAAGGAGATCATCTGAAGGAGATCCTCTACTCTGGCTTTGCGGAAAACAGTTTTCCAACAATAGGATCGTTGAATTTCATTGAGAAAATAGTTTTACAATAGTTTTACTACTCAATAGGATTGAAAAAATGGCCTAGTAAGGATGACGCGGTCGTACGCTCTCTTATTTCCAGTTGCAGGAAAGCTATCTCATTTTAACACAAGTTTGATGTTTTTCTATTCTTTAGGAACTACTGTTGGTTCTACTTTTTCTTTCCGTGGTCAAGGAAGAGGACTCAATTCTTACTCGAATCACCAGAGGTGTACTAGTTGCTAACTGTCTAACATCAAGACGTAGATCCTTATCTACTCCGTAGTCATATCATTTAATCTTCGGCTACAACAGTTGTATTAGAAGGTGCTGGCCTCCTTCCTATTCTTTCCTGTGCTATAATACTATTTACGGTTCTTATAAATATAGAGACTATTACTACTCCTAGTACCCTAAGTCTTCTTGGGATTGGATACGCTACTTACTTATTTGATTAGACTATTGGGTACACTACTTATTTGATTAGACTGATACCACTACTACGTGAATGAATGAATGAATGATACCACTACTACGGCTCGGTTGTTCCAGTTAATAAATACTAGAGTTGTAATCTCATCTACACTAGACAAGATGAACATGAAGGGACTTCAGCAGGTTGAGGAGGACTGGAGGACGTGGAGCCGGCACGTGGAAAAGACTCCTCCACCGAAGCGGAGGGTTATGCCCCTACCCGGTCGCAAACTCCTTGCCAAGCAACAGAGTCTGAAAAAAAAAACACCAACATGCTCATCTACTACAGGCGCAACCGGGATGAAAGGTATAGTAGAAACGACAACAGCGAAAGCTACTGGTGCAACGGCCACATCAGGAGAAGCTACTATAATGTTGACCGCGAAAGCTACTGGTGCAACGACTGCGAAAGCTACTGCAACGTCGGCCGCAAAAGCTACTGATGTCGCTACCGGGAAAGCTACTGCAACGAGCGGAAAAGCTACTGCAACGAGCGGAAAAGCTACTACAACGACCGGGAAAGCTACTGCAACGACCGCAGAAGCTACTGCAACAACCGGGACAGCTACTGCAACGTCGACCGGCAAAGCTACTGATGTAACAACCGGGACAGCTACTGGTGCAACGTCGGCCGGAAAAGCTACTGGTGCAACGACCGCGAAAGCTACTGGTGCAACGCTCGCGGAAGCTACTGGTGCAACGACCGCGGAAGCTACTGGTGCAACGCTCGCGGAAGCTACTGATGTAACTACCGGGACAGCTACTGGTGCAACGACCGCGG